CCAGGCAGAGAGCATAGTGCAAGGGAAAGCCTGAAGACTTGGAAGGAGTATGGCTGGACTACAGACAACGGGGAAAAGGAGAGTGGAAGAACTAGTGGCCAGGGCCTGGCTCACTGGCATTGAAGGCATTTCTAAAAAGTGTGGACTCATGCTAAGTTCAGTGGGAAGCGGTGGACTAGGGGAGTGGTAAGACCTGATTTACCCAGTGTCACTGGGACTGCCTTGTAGAGTGGTTTGCAGTGGGGAAAAGTGAAGTAGAATATATATGTCCAGTTTTAAGCTTTGGTATAGGCTTTCATTTTTAATTGATATAAAATCTTATATAATTGTCCAACATTTTTTATGCAACATAAAAAGTCTCAATGATTCAAAGAACACAGAAGTATATGAAATGAAATCTCTAACAATAATATGAAATGAAAAAACTAATAGTTTTGAATATCCTGTTTTTTTCTATGTACCCCATACATATGTGTGTATATTACAAATATATGTGCTAAAATTTTATGAGATTATACTGTAGGTATTTCTCAACTGGCTGTTTTATACAGTAAGTCTTAGAGATTTTGTTATGTCATATTAACTCCCCGTAAAAGGAACCCTTTTCTCTTTATGTCAGCATTTTCTTCTAATATTATACACCCATTCATCGTATTTCATATACTGAAAAAACTAATATCACAAGGTTAATACTTAAAACATCATTAATTCATTTCCTCCCCCAGTGGTTTTCAAAGACCTGTCATTTCTGCAGCCATCTCCAAGTCTTGTACAGCAAGAATGTCCAAGCACTTTCTTTTGACCGTTTAACAACTTTGGCCCACTCCATGATTTAACTGCTCTAAATTGGACTTTTTTTTTTTATCATTTTTCCTTTTTCTCTTTGCCATTACTGTTAGCTTTTAAACAAAGTAATACAGTCACCTAGATAAAGCAGGTTGTATCAAAAGTCATAATAAAAACCAAACTCCCTGCTCTGCTGACCCTCCATGCCACAGTGTGGCTTCTCAGAATCACAGCTGTTCTCAATGTGTTTGCCTTCATATTTCCAAATAATACAGTTATGCAGCATTTTTTTTTAAAGAATAGATGCATTTACATGGTTTGAAATAGAACACAAAAATGTATGTAATGTTACTTGTCAGTTATACCTAAATTAAGCTGGGGGGAAAAATGTACAATGCAGATTTGGGACATGCTGGGGAAAGATGGGAAATAAATTATACATGAGTAGCAAAGAAAAGTGAGATTCACAAATGTACTAAATGGCTTATTATTTATTAAAGTTATACTGCAAAAATAAAAACAAAAAGGTGCATAGCAAAAACTTTCTTTCAAATCCATAATTCCCAGGTTCTGATCATGTGCTGTCACAAACCATAGGGAGTAAATCTCATCCAAATGTCACTTTGCTACAGTGCCTGGAAATGTGAATAATAAAACCCCCAAGCTGGAATACTGAGTGCATGCATTTGTGATTTTGCTGTCAGAATGTCCTTCTTGGGGGGTGATACCAATTTATATTCACAAGCAGTGTGTTGTCTTCAGGCTTTGGGTTTTTGCCAGTGTAACAGGTGGAAAATGGTACCTCAGTACAATTTTAATTTGAATCAGTTATGATATACTGCTCTTTTAAACTTGAATCTGTTTTGATTTACTGCTATTTTTCAATTCATCAGTAGTTGGTGTTTTCTGTTGACTTCTTTATATTATAGACAAGGAATTAGCTCTTTTATATTACTTCTCCCAACACGCTCATCCTCCCAAGAATTTATGTCAAAGAGTCACATCAGTGATTAATGCTTACATTGCTTTGACTTCATAATTCTTGTCCCCTGCAGGGTCAGAGTCCAGTAGTATACTATGATTACAGTTCCTACCTCCCCCCTCCCCCTTTCCTAAAACTAATACTTGCTTGTTAAAATATATTTTATTTGGGGAGATTTTCACTCTGTACTGTTTTGTAGGATTTGAGTTAATTACTGTTTTCTCTTATGCATCAACAGTTGATTCAACTTAATTGTCTATTGTGTTGACTTCTTTGTTCACTGCTATTTCTGGCAACTTTTTTTAAGGTACGTTAAAAAATTTTTGCTACAGTACATACCTAAATAATTGTTTGAGGAATTGTTTAAATCCTTTCTTGTCTGAAAAGTGTCTGTTTATTCCTCCCACTGAAATAGCTGACTGGCTGGGTATAGAATAGAATGCTAGTTTCATGATCACTTTTCCTCGAAAATTAGAAGATACTGTTCAACTCTCTTCAGGTATCTAGTATGGCTGATTGTCAATGTAACTCTCACTTATTTGCATATAACCTGGCATTTCTGTCCTGACGTATTTTGCATTTTTGCAGATTTTTTTTTCCTTGAAGTCCTGGGGTTTCACATACAACCTTCAATGGGCCCCAAATCTTGAATTCAGGAAATGTTTTTTTCCTGTTATATCTGGTCATTTCTCTCTTTATATTATCTTCACTATATTCATGGAACTCCTGCAAGTTGGGATTTTCTTTGTGTCTTTCTAGCTGTCTGTCCTGTTAACTCTGCATTCTAGGAGAACCCCTCAATCTTCCATCTCAGCTGTGTCCCTTTTGCTATTCCACCCATCCAAATTGCAGGCCTCGGAATCAGACTGCCTGACATTAGCTATGACACATTACTTAATCTTTTCAACCTTGATTTCCTGGTGTGTAGAATGGGTGTCCTAACAGTTCCTCTCACAAGACTGTGCAGCTGGAGCGTGAGTGCTTCAAATGTGCAGATTAGGTCTTAATTTATAAGACTGTCATCTTTTCAATCCTCATATTAATTTAGAATTCTAATTATTTTTCATAGGCATTTATATTAGTAGGTTGTCTTGTTCTAAATGTGTTATCCTATCATATTTCTCTAGGATTTTAATTATGTGCCTTTTAAAAATCTTCATTGTTCTTGAGTTTGTGCCACTCTTTACTAATGTTTTCTTATTTTTTTGTCTGATTATATTTTTTTATAGTCTCATTTTTTTCTCCAAAGGTCTCATGTTCACAGTAGGATACTGGAGTGTGTCTCCTTGGCTGATGCTTGGCCCTCTGATGCATGCATGTTCTACTTATAGGAAGTGCCTCTGTTCAGTTGGCTTGGGATGTATTTCATATGGATCCAGATAGTGGGTGATGTAGAACCATTTTTAAAGGTTGCTTTTTCCAGCCAGTAAGTTATCTGGGACATGCCCTGCTTCTCAATCTCCAGCTCTCCATTCTCAGAAATCCCACTCTGTGGGTTATCTTGTGGCTTTGTCCAGGGAATATGTGGAATCGACTTTCTTGTTATACCTTTATCAGCCTGTCATTGTGCAGGTTCAGCATTACCTCAACTTCTGCTTCTCTCTTCAGCCCAAATAATACTATTAGGAGTCTTTCTTTAAAAGGCAGGCCACTTGTTTTGTTCTTGAGGCTTCAGGTGGGCCACTGTCCTTTGCCACCTGTACTTAATTTTCTGGTGAAATAAAAATGGTGGCTGGGAGCATGGTGCTGCCAATGGCAACTAGTCCAGCCATTAGAGATGCCTCACGTGAAATAATTCATGTGTGTCTAGGAAATACCACTCTTATGTTATAATTGTTGGTTCTGAGTTTGGAATTTGAATTTATAGGAACTTCTTAAGAGGTTCTTTCTGTCCTACGGAAGTGTTTTGTACATGATCTGGGCTGTGGATTTGGGTTTCTTCTTTCTCCACCAGGCCTCATCCATCTGCTCTTTATCATGTAGGAGTTCCTCAGCATTTTTATTCTGGTGCTGGCAACCTTTGTTTTTTCCCAAGACTATTGTGGACTTTTTGTCATTTTAGTGTAACTAAGATATTTACTGTAATTGTTTTGACTAACATACATGCAACTAAGTCTAAAATCCATGTTCCTAACACAGTTATCTCTCAGGAGTTCCAGACTTGTATGTCTTACTGCTTACTGACCAGGGCAGGTATATTACACCAGCACCACAAATTAAACAAGTCAGATTTTGAGTTTGTTACCTGTCCCTTGTGCCACTTCCAGCCTTGCAGCCTTATCTATAGCACCCCGATACCTGGTCACTCAAGCAAGGAACTTGGGGACTGTGCTTGGTGTATCCTATCCCTTCTGAGTTTGGTCAGTCATCACCTGATTTAGAATGAATCTCTCCCTCTCTCCGGTAACCATCCATACCTATGCTTTTCTTCAGCAGCTTTTTTCTCTACCTAAGTCTTACTTTTTTCTGGTGTTGTTTATAATCACAAAGTCAGTCATTTCTCTCCCAGCTGAAATCCATTCATTGTAAACCCCTGAGGGTTTTAGCCTGGAATCCTTAGTAGTGCATACCAGCCTCCTGCCTTCCTCTCCAGGGCACACTCTTTCCCGCTATCATGTTTTATATGCTTCACAAGAAGCTGTGTATAGTTTTCGTAAATATGTCATATTTTCTCTGCATTTCACTTTTTTTTCCCTTACGTTTGCTCCCAGAAATGTTCACCGAGGTTTGGTTTGAATGCCCCTACTCTGTGCCCCCATGACTAGTTGTGCATGCATCTGTTGCAACACTTACCTGTTGCTGTCATTGTTGATATGTTTGTCTTTCCAGTAGACTCTAGATTCATAAGCAAAAAGAGTTCTATTTTCTTCCTTGTATCCCCAGGACCTATTAAAAGTAGATTACTAATTAAATGCAAATTTAACTAAAATACAGTGATATGGAATGAAATGTTACTTGTGCAAGGATATGAGATTCATAGTCTTCTGCAGGGGTTAGGGGGGGATATTTTTATCATCTATGCTTAAAAGCAGAAATTTTAAGAGATTTCTGTCTTGTTTACCCAAGCTTTCTCTCTTGCTCACGTTAAACCAAAGAATATGACTTTAAGGACAAGACTGAACTTTTTCCTGGTTACTAAAGTTTCAGGCCGTAGCCACTCCAGTTCTTAAATCTTGCTGTCTACTCTTTAGTCTTTGTTTGTTCTTATCACTGAATTCTGTTTGTTTCTTAGGAGACTTGAGTGAAAATTCTATGGAGAATTTTCAAGAGAAAAGACTTAGGGATCTATTACATGAAGAGGTTTCCTGCTGGCTAATTTTGGAAGACATGGCCAGTACAGTAACTGAGGGTCAGGATTGTATTGTAGATCTTCAAGGGGAAGTGTGCAGGAAGCCTGAACTAAATCTCTCCCCTTATCAACAGTGGAGAGAAGCATCTTCTCATATTCCCAGAAACAAGACCAGTGTGGTGAGTCTTCCAAGTGATGATTTCAAAAACATCAAAAGTGAAGAATATTTGTCTTTGAAAGTCCCAAGCCAAATGGCCACACAGGACTCTTCAGTGACATTCTGTAAAAATAAGCCACAGGATCTTCAGGAAAGCAAAAATCTGTTACTATCTGAAGAAAGCACTACGAAAAAAGTGATAGGGGGAAAAAGTCCAACCATGAACCATTGTTTAGAGAACCTTCAAATTGAACTTGTGACTGATGAGACAGAACTGGCCTCTCCATTGTCCAGTGGTGAGGCATTTAGCCAGAATGGTCAGTCAAAACAGTCCTTGGATCCCTTTGACTGTAATCACAGAGACATTTCTGGTTGGAAATCACGGGTAGTCAGTCGTCATCTGAGAGCTTGTGCAGAGGAGAAACCCTGTAACTGTTACAACTGTGGGAGAATACATAACACCAACTCAGGTGGTCACCCACCTGAGAAAATGCACACAGAGAAACTTTACAGAGGTAGTCGGTGTGGTAAGGACTTCAGTGCAAGGTCAGAACTGCTTCATCAAAAGGACTACACTGAGGAGAAGCCCTACAGATGTGAGCAGTGTGGGAAGGGCTTCACGAGGAGCTCCAGTCTCCTCATCCACCAGGCAGTCCACATGGATGAGAAGCCTTATAAGTGTGACAAGTGTGGGAAGGGCTTCACAAGGAGTTCAAGTCTGCTCATTCATCATGCAGTCCATACAGGCGAGAAACCTTATAAATGTGACAAGTGTGGGAAGGGCTTCAGCCAGAGCTCCAAACTGCACATCCACCAGCGAGTGCACACGGGTGAGAAGCCCTACGAGTGTGGGGAGTGTGGCATGAGTTTCAGCCAGCGCTCCAACCTGCACATCCACCAGCGAGTGCACACAGGGGAGAGGCCCTACAAATGTGGGGAGTGTGGGAAGGGCTTCAGCCAGAGCTCCAACCTGCACATCCACCGATGCATACACACAGGGGAGAAGCCTTACCAGTGCTATGAGTGCGGGAAGGGCTTCAGCCAGAGCTCAGATCTCCGCATCCATCTCCGAGTCCACACTGGAGAGAAGCCATACCACTGTGGCAGATGTGGGAAGGGCTTCAGCCAGAGCTCCAAACTCCTCATCCACCAGCGAGTGCACACAGGAGAGAAGCCCTATGAGTGCAGCAAGTGTGGGAAGGGCTTCAGCCAGAGCTCCAACCTCCACATCCACCAGCGGGTGCACAGGAAAGAACCCCATTAGTCACATGCTCATACCCTAAAGAGTCACTATTCTTAACATCACTCTTAACTTTATAGTCCCAGGAGAGAGATAGTAAGAGTCATTAAGATATGTTCCCTCACTGAAATCATTCATTCATCTAAAGTATTTGAGTACCAGGCACTTTGTTATGCTCTACCGTGGACTGATTGTTCTAGGTCCTCAGGTGGATAGAGTGAAAACATGTACTTTGCAGTTCAGCCAGTGTTATTAGAACTACATGTTCTACCCAGCATTTTTAAATGCTAGAACTTTATATCCATCCAAGCAGAACATCTTTCCCATTATTTACATTCTTTGAGAAATTGGAGCTCTGCTTTCTCCAGATCATATGCCTTGTATTTTTCCTATTTCCTTCCAACCCTGAGTAGCCCTCTCTAAGCTACAATTTACAGTATGTTAGTTTTAGGTCTGGGGTGTGGTGTGGAAATCTGTGTTTATTGGAGAAATGTACAACAGTGTATGACCACACAAGGAGAAGAGCTGCTCATGTAGTACACCCATCTGTCAGTTTACAGAATGTTGAGCCCCCTCCACCTGTTTCCCCCAAGGCAGCTGCTCAGGAACATAAGTAGTTCTTTTTCTTGGATGTAGCTAGTCTATGGGGTGGTTCTAGATCTCACCACCTCAGATGACCCACCAAACTAAAGCCATGTAGGATATATACACTGTGTCAAAGTATGGCAGATGAAGTCAAAATATATTTTTAATGCATTTCATTCTTCTCAACACTTCCCTGTCATTTTCTTAATTTTGACACCACCTGTGTTTTCTACTAAGCAAAACAAAGGAGTTAGGAAGGTTTCTGATATTTTTCTCTTCAGATTTATCTCATTTTAATATTTTATGTATCCCAAAAGTCATTTGATTTTACAGCATCCCCAGCCCCTCTAGACTTTGCTATACACATCTAATTTATTTTTATATTTGGTTAAAAGTACTTCATATAAAAATAGCTCCATAAAAAATTTTTAAACCATATTTGGAGAGTATGCTTAGAGTGATCAAGCTTAAAATATGCGCTGTATCACATAATTCTCTAGGGGCACAAGCCTAGGGCATCTTAAAGAGGCATTCATTCCCTAGAAGTTAAGACAAGAAGCTTAAGCAGTAGAGAGTAGAAAAGTAAATGCAAATACATAACCAATTTGGAAGTTACTACACAATGAGTGTGAATTACAGCTTGATTTTCTGAACAATAGTTAATAGTTCCTCAGCAGTGCTCTGGGTGCTACCCTGTATTCCATATCCCAGTTTATCACCAATGGCTGGGATGCATGTATGAAAATGGTAGGGGAAACGTGGGTACTTTATTAGCTTAAGGTGAGGTTGCAACTCACCCTGAACAAATGTAACCCGAAGCAGTTAACTGGACATAAATAGCAAGGAAGGCATACATCAACTTGGCGGAAACAGCTAATCTCTAATAAGAAATGGAGGAAGGTGACTTCCTTCAAGAGATATCTGACTCCAAACTGCGCAGTCTGTGTGGGATGATTAGGGTGGTGACAGCATCCACTCTGTAGCATTGCATAATATCCTTCACTCATCCGGGTACTGTAGGCAACATCCTATTTCAGCAATCTCTAGAATGACAAATATCCCCTAGTTCCTCCTACTCTTAAGATTTTGCCTGAACATCTTTTTTTGTCACATGTCTTCCAGTTGACTGATGGACATAATCTGAGATTTAGAGCCAAGTAAGACTACAAGACTCATGTGCAGTGAGACCAGAGGGTACTTATTAAGTCCAAGTCTCAAATGGGAATAAAATAGCCTGATTTTCTGAATTTCCTTTTGCACATATGTTATCAATGTTTTTTATTATGTTTAGCTTTTACAGTTCTCTTTTAAGTGTTACATTCTTTAACAGTTGAAAGTAATCAGTCTTTGGGAATCATTTCCCTGATATGGGAATGGAGTTTGGTGAAAATAATAAATTAGAAAAAGAGGGACTAATGCACAAAAATGTAGAAAGAAAAATAGGGAGTATGTCAGATTTCATGATCTCAAGAAGCCTAGACTGTGAAAATGAAAAAAAAATTGACATATTTCAGGGTTGTGGAAAAATCGTTTCTTTTCAGAGTTCAAGTGTTACCCTAGACTTGATACTTTACCATTTAACTTGAACAAAGACCTTTGAATATTCTCAGTGATCATCAATTATAATAGGTTGATAATTTGATCACTAATTTAGCAAAGAATCCAAGTTACAGATTTATTGAGTACTTGAGATAAGCTTTTACAGTTTTTAAAATTATTACCTTCTCAACGAATACTATTTGCTTTCTGTGTGGATTGTTTAATGCCTTAAGGACAAAACACTGATAAATATGTGATAACTACTTTTTATCACAGTTCCAAATTATAATCTTTTTAATTCCTCCTTCCCCATTCCCCAACATGATAGCCAGAGTTAGGGATAGAAACAAATATGGAAGTTCACTTTCACAGTTCCCATGGCCTTTCTCATTGTACTTTCGTTGATGAGAAAGGTCATAACAGCATGGAGTGCAAGGCTGAACCCTAGATAATGAAAGGGAGCATGGGGCAACTGATCAGCAGGGGCTACAGAAATGTCGGGTTTGGACAGTTAAGCAAAATGGCAAGCAAAGAAAGGAGTAAAAATGCTTTTGTTGAGCAAAGAAAACAGGCAAAGACCATCAGCAAACAGGAGATCTCCATAAAAATTTGAAAGATGTTAGAAGGATAGCTATTGTATCAGAGCAGAAACAACCATTTATACTGCTTGTGTATGAGGATAAGGACAAGAAAGAACCATTTTGGCTCCAGGCTCCGAAATGATTAATACTGTGAAGGATGGGAGTGGGACATGAAAGGAAAGCAGTGAAATTAACGTCCAGTTGTAAATGGAACATTACCTTCATCCCATATGCACATACCCTCCTACCCAATCTCTGTGCACTATCAACCGGGGATTTACCCTCCGGTGAGAAACAGTTACTTAGTGGAACTTGAATGGCTCCAAGGGAGAGACTTCCGTGTTCTGACATCTGGGTTCCTGACAGTAAAGCAGTTATCTTCTACTCTAATACACTTAAAACAGCTAGAAAATCAGTAAAGATATATGACAATCAACTAACTTGACATTAATAGAACACCCAATGCAGCATAATACACACTCTTTAAAAGTGCACATACCATGGGCTATACATTTTAAATACTAAAAGAATGGAAATCATTAAAGATAGGTTCTATCATCAGAACTGAATTATATTAAAAATGACTGAGATCTGTAGAGTTCACAGATATTTGGAAATTAGACCACACTCCAAAATGAGCCATGGCTTAATGAGGAAGTAACAAGGAAAATTTGGGAATACTTTGAACTGAATAAATATATCAGAATTTGTGGTTTGCAGCTAAAGCAGTATGAAACTTTAACAACTTCATGTCAATAAATTCAACAACTTAGATGAAATGTAAAAAGTCCTTGAAAAACAAACTACCAAAGCTCACACAAGAAAAAATAGAATATTTGAATAGCTCTTTTAAATTAGTTGTATTTGTGGCTGACAACTTTCCTGCAAAAAAAATAAATAAGACACAGACCCAGATGGCACAAGTGAATTCTATCAAAATTTTAAGGAAGACGAAACAATTCTACACAAACCCTTCTAGGAAGGGTTACTTACCAACTCATTATATGATCAACATTACCCATATACCAAAGCCAGAGAAAGACATAAGAAAAGAAAATCATAAACTGGTATCCTAAAAATCAGTTTTAAAAAGAGCAAACTAAAACCGCTATCTGTACAGATGGTAATACATTATGCTCAAGTTGAGTTATCCTAGAAATGCAGTGCTGCCTTAGCATTCAAAATCACTGTATTCCATTTTAACATACTAAACAAGAAAAACCATATCTTTTAAAAATGTAGAAGCAGCATTTGAAAAAATTAAGCAGATATGATTAAAAATTATCAGTTGATTAGGGATTAAAGGGGTCATTAATATATTGGGCACCTGTGGAAGAACCTACATCTGACATCATACTTAATGGTCAAATAAGGAGTATTTCCTCCTAAGATTGGAAATAAAGCAAAGATATCTACTCACTACTTGTAGTCAACATTGTCCCAGATGTTCTAGCCAGTCAACAAGGCATAAGAGGGGGATTGGGGAAGGGGGGACACCATGAGTCCCAGCATCCACCAAGCATCAACCTGCACTGGGTTTGAGGTGACCGGGCTGGGGCTGGGGACCAGAACAGAGTGGACAGCTAAAGGCCATGGCTAAGCCGGCTCTAAAGAGAACAGATAGACCCAGACACATGAAGGAAGGATACCCCATGACAGTGAAGACAGACGAGTTAAGTAGCTGCAAGCTAGGGAACACCAAGGTTGGACAGCCACTACCAAAAGCTAAGAGAGGCACAGAACAGATTCCTAGAACCATCAGAAACAGCATGGCCCTGCTGGCATCTTGATTTCAGACGTCTGGCTCCAGAACTAGAAGAATAAATTTCTACTGTTTTAAGCTACCCAGTTTGTGGTACTTTGTTACAACAGCCCTAGGAAACTAATACACAGATCATCAAAAGTGGTTTTAGGACACTTGGTTTTTCATTTGAAAAAAAAATTAAGGTAGATCACTACACCATAAAAAATTACATTCTTAATAGATTAAAAATCGAAACATGAAAAGCAAAACTTTACCCTTTTGGGGGAAAAAAGTAGGATATCTTTGTAACTTCAGTGTAGAAAAGAATTAGAAAGCCCTAAGAAAATATTGATACATTTGCATCAGAATTAAAAAGATTCTGTACAATATATGAGGGTACAAATCAAAGTAAAAGATAAGCCACAGACATCTTACTACAGTGATGGACAGTGACTGCAATGGGGTGGGGAGGGGGGCTTGATAATAAAGGTGAATGTAATAACCACATTGTTTTTCTTGTGAAACCTTCATAAGAGTGTATATCAATGATACCTTAATAAAAAAAGTAAGCCACAGACTGTAACCTAAATGTAGTTAATATATAAATATATAAATGATATGAGGAAATCCTACAAATGAAAGGACAAGTCACCCAATAAAAAATACAACGAATATGAACACGCAATTCACAGAATTGAAAATAAATGGTCATGGATAAAAGATTGGATTAAAAATTATGACACTGAGACAGTGGGACACTATTCAAAATTAAAATAAATCAGTTCTATATATATCAAGGGCATATCAAAATATTAAAAATGCAGGTTGCAACATAATTTGTGCATAAAAGACAAAGCAATACTATATGGATACATACACAAATTTAAACATGAACTGAAAAGTTGCCACATTAATGTTTGCCTCTAGAAAAGGGGAAAACATAAGAACAGGATTGAGGAGGGGAACAAGGGAACTTGGGTGTCAGCTCTCATATTCTGTTCATTTCATTGAAAGGATATCTGAAGAAAAAAATTTGCTAAATCAGTAGTGAATGCTAAGGTACTTGTTATAATGTTCTCTGTCATTTCCTGGATCTTTTATACTTCTGAAAAAGTAATAAACAGCAAAAAAAAAAAGGAATACAGAATTTGAAAGAAGACAAAAACTTTGCTGTAATATTGTCTATGTAGAAAAATATAAGGAATCTACAGTTTTTGTAACTAATAAGTGATTTTGGAAAAGTCAGGAAATGAGCAATGTATTAGCAACAATTAAAAGTTGAAATTAAATATTTGCAGTAGCATCAAAAATGAAATATTTTTAGGGATAAATTATCAAAATATACATAGCCTATACACCTAAAATGACAAAACAATGCTGAGAAAAGTCCTAAATAAACAGAAATACACCATATTTATGCATTATAAAACTCAAAAACTTAAAAAGTCAAAACAATTATTAAGAAGTCAAGAAATTTTTCCTAAGCTAATGTAAAGCTACAGTAATCAAGATAGTATGGTATTGGAGTTAGGGCAGACGTACAGATAATTGGTACAATAAGGCCCACCCACATTTTCAGTTGCTTTCCAACAGACATAAAGATAATTCAATGGAGAAAGAATCGTGTCTTCAACACATGATGCTGGAACAATTAAATATCAGTATGGAAAAAATGAACAATGTAAATAAACGTAACCACAAAATACAAAGCACCTAGAAGAAAATCTTCTGTTAGAACATGAAAAACAAACTATGAAAGAAAAAATTGGTAAGCTGGACTTAATTTTTTTAATTCTGCTCTTTGAAACTTCATATGAAGAAAATAACAGTTTTATGAACTGGGAGAATATACTTGCACAACATATATCTGATACAGGAAGACTTGTAGCCAAAATAGATAAAGAACTCTTACAACTCAATAAAAAGACAATCTGATTCAAAAGTAGAAGATTTGAATGGGCATTTTATTAAGATAAGCAAATGGCTAGTGAGCACATGAAAGGATGCTCAATATCACTCATCACTAGAGAAGTGCACATTGAAACCACAATGAGATACCACTACATACCTAGAACAGCTAAATTTAAAAGACATAACAGTACCAAGTATTGGCAAGGACATGGAGCAAGTTGCTGGCAAAAATGCAAAATAGCCATTTGGAAAACAATTGAGCTCTTCTTAAGTGAGATACCTATCACACAGCCTCGCAATCCACTCCTAGGAGTTTACCAAAAAGTAGTCAAAATACATGTTCAACCAAAGCCTTTATGTGAATGTCCATAGCAGGCATAATATCCATAATGGAAACAACCTATGTGTCCATCAGCAGGTGAATGAGTAAACAATTATGGAATATCCATACAATAGAATAATTTTTCAGCAA